GCCTCATGAACTCTTTAGAGCACCTTGCACCCAATAGATTTAAACCATCTTTTTCTCTTTTGATACCAGCAACTGAACTCAGGACCTTGCACTTGCCTGACAGGTGTAGCACCGCTGAGCTACATCCCTGGCCCAGACTTAAACCGTCTTGTAGGGAAGCTTTAATGTGTACTCTGACGCCTCCTTGTTCCACTCTTTCAAGTCTCAGTTTAAATTGCTCAGTCATTTGAATCCTGCCCACGTTTGAGAACTGCTTTTTGCTCTCTAAATCATTGCAGGGTTCCTGTGAGAGCACATATGTCACTTTATTGAAACTGCCCACTTGTCTTTTTATCCCACCATGCCAGAAGATGAAGAGAGGAACAATCTTATCTTACTCCATTGCATTTTCTACCTATGAAATGATAGCAAGGTCATCATTGAAGCTTAAAAAGAATCCATTTGGTTTTAGAAAATAAATTAATATACATCATATATCTGTGAAAAAAACCAGATGACTAGATTTGTTTCAGTTAACAAGAAGAAGATACATTAGACCCTTTGCAGAAATTGGGCGATCTTAGCTCGTATTAACCGTAAAATTAATACTCCTCAGAATTTCTTTTCTGTTAGGCGTCCTTTTAGATGCCTCACCACAACCCCAGTAGATTTTACAAGTGAAATTGCAACCCAAGAGTTGTAAAATTTTATTTTCTCGAAGGCATAAGTTTATCAATTCAATCTGTTTGACCAAAACCCTTGATCTCTGTTTCTAAATAAAACAAAGCATCCAGGGCTGGGGATTTAGCTCAGCGGCAAAAGCACCTGCCTGGCAAGCGCAAAGTCGTGAGTTCGGTTCCCGGTACCGGAGAAAAACAAAAAAAAAAAAAAAAAAAAAAAACAAAAAAAAACAAAGCATCCAGAGTAGATTAAGTGATATACTTCACTACTTAAGCAACATCTAGAATATTGTTTTTATTTTGTTTGCTCTGTTTTAAAAGAAATAGTATCATGAAATACTTCCAGCAAAGGGTCCCATAGGCCCTAACTATAGAGAGTGAGGGACCTGAACTGGATCGTCTTTTAAGGGGCCATGGGAGGCATTGAGGAGGATTTGTGTAGAGAGAGAATTTGGCTGTCAAAGTTGGAAAAAAGCAGGGCCAAAGGACAGAAGTTATAGGGAGTAGAAATAGATTGTCATGGCAAAACGCTCTTAAGAAATTTCTACAAGTATAATGGCTCTTTTCAAAATTGAGGCCCCATTCAAATAGTAGTATTGCTGATGAAAATTTTTTAGCATTTCACATTTTACAAGGAACATTTAAACAAATTTGTAATATAATCACATCTCTGGAGTACATGGTAGCATTATTCTTATTTTTCAAAAGGAGATTTTACAAGATTTTGATTTGTTCAAAGTATCTGCAGCATGTAATTGAGAGAGCTGGGCTGGATCCCAAGGCTGACTCAAGGTCTCATGCTGCTTTCCCTTTAATAGGCAGATGACCACGCATCACATCATGATGGAAATAAAAGAAATGCCCGAATTAGGGAGGAGGAAGTTAAGCAGTGTGATTGTTTATCGAGTGCTCCTTTGACTTTGAAAATGCTTGGTTTTCTGAAGACTGAAATGTAGCCTCACCAGCGTGTTTACTACTTTTTCAAAGATTTTTCCCATTTCCTAACTATACATGTTTATCTTCAAATTTTGCTCTTTTTTCCCTATTATTTGTTTCTGGTACTTTATAGAAAATTGATCTGTTCCAGTCTTTTTCAGTCCCATACTTATTCTTACTCAGGGCCATCTTCATCTCTGAGAAGCCAAAAATTCTTTTTTTTTTTTCCACCTTTTTGAAACAGGGTCTTGCTATGCAGTTCAGGCTGCCCTTGAGCTCACTTTGTAGTCCAGGCTGGCCTCGAACTCACAGTGATCCTCCTGCCTCAGCCTCCCAAGTGCTGGGATTACAGGCGTGTGCCACCATGCCCGGCTAAAGTCTAAGAAACCAATTTCTACTTTACTTCCTTCTTTGATCTCTTTCAGTTTTATTGAGGGTACCTAAAATCATTGTTTCTTTTACTGTAACATTGATAACTGTAGTGCTTGGCTTATTTTTTTCTAATTCAGTTCTACTGTTTCCAGTTACTTGTACCCTATCCTCATCTTTATCACAAACTACTAGCCTGGAGCTGTCTCTACCTTATCAGCAGTGCCATCTCTATGTTCTTAACACTGTTCTTTTCCCTATGGTCTTATTCCACTTGTAAGACTTCCAGTATCTCTCTATGGTTGTATCTTTGTTTTTACTCTTGACTGTTACTGTTTATAAAAAGTAGAGTTTTTATTTTTTTAAGAGCAGTTTTAGGTTCACAGCAGTATTGAAGGTGCAGAGATTTTCCGTGCCCCCTTCACGTGTGCAGCCTCCCCTTGATCAACGTTACACAGCTGTGAGTAGTGTATTTGTTAAAACGACGGAAAACTGCATTGTTGCTATTCAAAGTTTATATTTTATATTAGGTTACTCTTGGGCAGTCTGTGAACTTGGACAAATAGTTAAGGATCTGTACTAACCATTATAATGGCATACAGTTTAACTGCTCTAAAAGTCCTCTGTGCCTATTCATCCCTCCGTTCCTCATAACCTCTGGTAGCCGATGCTGGATGGCTGGATGGGTGGATGGATTTTGATTTTGTGAAACTGGGATTGAACCTAGGGCCTTTGTACTGAGCTATACCACCTTTTTTTGTCATTGTTGCTTTGAGATAAGGTCTCACTAAGTTTCCCAGTCTTTCTACAGCCTCTCAGAATGCTGCAGTTGTGGGCATGTGCCAGCATGCCTGGGTACCACTCATCTTTTACTGTTTCTCTACTTCGCCCATAATTTTTCGGTCCTTCCCTGTTAGCCTGTCAATCTCTCACATCTGATAGCAGTAAGTAAATCAAACCAAAACTTTACTGTGAATGTCTTCATTGTCACACTGCCCTCTCAATTTTTTGATATTGTGTCTAGTGGATTACAAATTGTTTTCCATAGAACTCATGATAGTCCTTCACTGGCTCCAAGAAAACTGAAAAACATTCCTTGATCCTGCCTCAGTTAATTGCCAAAGCTCAGAATTGGCTTTTGCTTTCTGTATTCTTTTTATCTGGTCTTAACTATCTCATAACTCTCTAGCCATCTGTTCACTGTATATGGTTCATCGACAGTGATCTACACTTCTCCCACATTCTCCTCCAGTTTTGAGGCAGTTTCTTTTCTGTTTCCAATGTATTTATCCCTCAATTGAACATTTGGGTTATTTTGCTTTATTGTATAATTTAAAGCCAGCAAAAACTCCTTGAGAATAGTCGTGTGTTTAACTCATTTCCTAAGCCTGACATGGTGCCTTTCCCGTGGGAGGAGCGCAGTAAGCACTTAATAAATTGAATTCTCTTGGCATTCAAGCCTTAACTAGCTTTTTCAGCTTCTCACCCTGCGTGTGCCTTGCCTCTCCCATCATCTGTGGGCGTGATCGCACTCCATTTTTTTCTTAATAGTTCTCCTTCGACCTTCCTACCACTTCCTATTGTTTATAGAATAAAACACACTTGTTTTCTTGGCATTCAACTCAAGACTCACAAATTAGTTTTTCTACCTTCGCATCCTTATTTGTCACTCTTGCCCTACTACAGGCCTTTTATAACCACTCGGGCTAGTCTTATGCACTATTCCTGCATATTTTATCTCTATTCTTTTATTATTGTTGCAGCTAGAGTGCCTTTGCTACTTTGCTTTTCGTAGTTTATGTAAATTCTATCTGACCATCAAGTTGTCTTCCTAAACACTGTATTCTTTGAACTTCCTTTAAATAAGTACATAACTTAGCACTTTATCATTTGATGTCCTAAGACTGTTCACGTTATGGTTGGGACATTATTTATTTATTTTTATATACACATGCATTTTATCTCCCTTATTAAATCATTATTAAGTTAGGCCAACAATCAAAAATAAACTTTCTCACCTGGAATCTATTACCAATTTTCTGTTTGGACCTAAATAGTTCATACAGTTTTAGAGGTTGAACTGAATGCTCTTAAAACTATTTTCTGCTCTTCTACAAAAAGGTAGAAAAGAAAAATGCTCTTAGATAAGTTTTAAAGATAGATAATAAAAAACTGTCTTTCATTGTATTTGTTTATTTTTTCAGTGCTAGAGAGCAAACCCACGACCTTGTATATGTTGGGCAAGCATTCTACTATTGAGCTATATCCCCAGCTCTATAAAAATCATTTAAAATGTAAACTATATAATTTGTTACATTGTGGAAAGTACAGTGATAACAAATAAAACAGATAAGGAAGAAAGTATTTCATGATCTAAATAAGTGGGCAGGCCAGGTGTGATGGTGCACGCCTGTATTCCCAGCACTTGGGAGGCTGAGGCAAGAGGATTGTTGCAAGTTCAAGGCCAGCCTGGGCTACAAAGAGGCCAGCCTGAACTGCATAGCAAGACCCTATCTCAAAAAGACCAGTTAAGGAAGGAAGGAATGAAAGAACAAAAGGAAGGAAGGAAGGAAGGAAGGAAGGAAGGAAGGAAGGAAGGACGGAAGGAAGGAATAGAGCAACCTCATGAAGAAAGTGATGTTGAAGTAAAGACCAGGTAGAGGGAACAACCTCTGGGAACAGGTGCTTGTGTTCGGGGAAGTGGCAGAGCTCAGTGTGGAGTATGCAGTGATAGCATAGTAGTTGGAAAGGAAGTCAGAGAGAACTGGGGAAGAGGAGGGTTTTATGGGGCTGATTTAGTCTTTGGAAAGGTTTCATCGTTTTTGCTATCCTCTTTGGTATTTAAATTTTAAGAATTTGATGTTACATTTTACTTTGACAAGGTATAGTAACTAAACATTAAGCCAAAAATGAAAGTTAGGTACTTAATATTGGTTCTTTTGTTTTAGGATTTATAACTTAATTTTTAAGTTTTAGGATTTACAATTATAACTTAATTTTTAAATCTTTTTTTTATTTCTTATTTTTAAATCATAGGTAAATTAACACAATGGATTTTTCCAAACTACCCAAAATACTTGATGAAGACAAAGAAAGCACATTTGGTTATGTGCATGGGGTCTCAGGACCTGGTAAGTAATACATAACGGTCTCAAGAGAAAGGATTCTTTTCAAGGTGTTTTTGATAGAACTACGCAGGGTTGTGTTCACCACATAAATTCTGTTTGCCTTTAAAAGATCTCATAGTGACCTTATGATCTCCATCCTAAGGGCTTATCTAGCGTTGTTCATGTAAATATGACAGTTAAATTGAGGTGTTACTTTGTGATATCCTGTTTATGTTATATAGATGTATATAACCAGTGCTTAGTATTTTGCCTAGACATATGTATTAATGTTGGGTTAAATTTGGGGTGAAAAGGTTTAATATGTAATGCCTTGCAGAGAATAGGCATTCGGTTAATGTCATTGTACTTTGAACTTCAGCAGTTGCCTTCAGAGCATTTCTTAGTGATCTCTACTTTTGTTCTTTGTGTTTATAAACCCTTCTGAGAGGCAGTTTCAGACACAGTGTCACTTAACTAGCTACCTGTGAAGACGTCTTATGACCTAATACATAGTAACAGTGAAAAGTGACTTTAAACTTTCTATTTTGCCAAAACTTGTAGTTCTGTGTTTTAAATAATAAATCTCATTTCAGTGTTTACTTTGTTCTTAAGCATTCCCAAAGTAAAAGGCAATTCACAGTTTTTCCAGTTAAAATTTGCTTATTAATTTATTATTGTTAGTGCCGTGAAAATTCATTTTTCCTTAAGGCTTTATCAGTCTCACGTGAGAGTCTTTCCTTCTCTGGTCACAGCGGAAGTGATGATATTTTTTTGGTGCTTAGACCAATGAAGACTATCAGTTATTGTGCTCCTTTTTTCCTCCCCAAGAACTTGTTTGAGCTTGAGCTCCTTAGCAAGTAACAAAAAGATAAATACCTTTTATTTGTTTGACTATTTAAAGTCTTTTTTACCATCGAGAAAAACAGTTTTCCCTTGATCATCCTAAAGATTTTTGGGACATAGGCTACACACAGGAGCTTCCAGAGAGAAGGCCAGAGAACAACATCGAAGAGGATAGGTGAAAACATTCTAGAAATGTGCAGTAACTCCTCCTGGAACCAATTTTTTATTCTTAACTACTTAACTAATAGAGAAATTGCATCAATTTTTTGTATATGATATATGATTTTGAAATTTTTTATCTATGATATTTCAATCCATCATAGATTTTCTTATATAGTACAGAAGTAAACATTTAAGAAATGGATAAATCTTCATTTTTATAACAGTTTAATTACATATCAATAACTTAAATTCCACTGATGTACTGTATTGCCTGTTACATAGTTATAACCAGTTGTATCTATTCTTAGGCATTTCTGTTATTTTTATTTATTTATTTGTTTGTTTATTTATTTTGCGGTACTGGGGATCGAACTCACGGCCTTGCGCTTGCCAGGCAGACACTTATGCCACTGAGCTATATCCCCAACCCTTTTTTTTTCCTTTTATTTATTTATTTTTTAATTAATTAATTTATTTATTTGTTTATTTTTTTCTTAGGCATTTCTAAAAATGTGGCAATCTTACTTGCTTATTAAGCATCGTGGTCCAAAATCATAGGTTTAATTCTGGCTCAATAGAGGTTCTTAACTGGAACTTTATCCAGCAGTAGTTTCTGATTGTACACACCCACTGTTCTGTAAAAATATTTCTAGATGCATTTGTGAATCTTCCTATGTACAGCTATCATTAGTTTATCCAAAAGGCTATATATCCCAGAAAAGTTTTAAATACCATTGATTTAATGTATTCCAAAATAAAGATGTTACTTTATATATTATCTCTAAGGAGAAACAGTGACAACCCAGCAAGGTGATAATTGTGTAGCCTTCTGAAGCTAATTTTAAAGTTTTTTGTTTTTCCAAACCCACCATTACATGTATTAGAGTAATCTGGGTTGATCAGAGCATGTGTCAGTACTACAAGATACACAACTTCAGACATTAGAAATGACTTTCATGTATGCTATGCAAATTGATAACCTTTAACTTAACAAATTTATTTTGTTTACCAGTTTATAACATGTACTAAAATACACATCTTTATGTGAAACTGCAGTAGGAGTTTTATCTTTTTTTACATATATGGAAGGAGGCATATTATTGGATTTATTGGTATTTCTAATTATCTGTAACTTCACAGAGCACTTGAGCCCTGAATCATTACAGCAGTCTTTCATTCTTTTCAGTCGTGACAGCCTGTGACATGGCAGGTGCAGCCATGTATGAGCTGGTGAGAGTGGGCCACAGCGAGCTGGTTGGAGAGATTATTAGGTTGGAAGGTGATATGGCTACTATTCAGGTGTACGAAGAAACCTGTATCCTTTTTGGTTCAATTTCCTGCCACTTCCTGTGTGTTAGAATTTAAGGATTTAGGCCAAAGATAAAATAGGAACAAACAGTGATATCAGAAGCATGACGTGTAGATGTCATGAAGAGACCTGATTTACACTGAAATAAGTGAAGAAGGGAGAAAAATACACTAGGGATTAGTGTTCTTATTTTAGGAGATTAGTATATATTCTGAACTTTCACTGCCTGTATGCTTTCGTAATTCACAAACTTCAGAGATTCTGGAAGTCTTTTTATTAGGACACATATTAGTACAGGTACTAGGGATGAAAGTATGTATTTTTTTTATTTTGAAGATAAAAGAACAAAAACATGAACAGACACACAAGACATTTATAAAATAATAAATGTCTGGTTTCATTTCCAGCAAAACAATAGAAGCAATACATATTTTCAGACAAGGTGATAGGAAATTGACAGTGGTGGTTGTTAATATATTGATATGTTCAAATTGGTTACTCAGATTTTGGAAATCATCCTAGAGCAATTTGCAGATGCCCCTATTCCTTTCTTTTTTTTTTTCATGGCAGCATAGAATTCTATCACGGCTTTCCATAATTAGTTAATCTCTTAATGATAGAGATTTTAATTTTGATTGTTTTTCATCTTTTTCTGTTATAAACATTGCTGGGGTGTAACTAAGTATAAATTTGTAGAAGTTAGATCTCTAGGTCAAAGCTTGTCCATTTTTAATTTTGATAGCAATAAATTGCTTTCTATAAAAGTGCTGATATTTACTATCAACAAATGCTAGGGAACAAGGCAGACTTCCTTTGCTTATTTGCAGATTTTATTCTTTTCCTTTCCAAAGATGTTTTTCTCAGATATTTTTTGTGTTACTAGGAAATGAAACCAGGGCCTCCTCATGGAGCTGTATCCTCAGCCTTTTTTAATGTTTTATTTTGAGACAAGGTATCACTAAGTTGCCAGGTTGGATTCAAACCTGTGATCCTCCTGCCTCAGCTTCCCAGAATGCTGGGATTACTAGCATGCACTGCCATGCCTGGCTTTTTCCTTAGGTCTTGGTCTTGTAAAAGTTTTGCCCAGGCATGGCTATCTTTTTTAGGAGACTGCTGTTCTTCAGCAGTCTGAAATAATGAGTTAATAAGAGGTTTTTGCTTCTATTTTTAGCCCCGTGGTTCCCAAACTAAAAAGGCACCTGGGCAGCTGTGGTAAACTCACGTGGTGCCAAAGATGTTTTAAATTTTTGAGGTTAACCAGGAATACTAGATGTCTTGTCAGGCACTAGTTGCTTGAGATAATAAGCAGTTTCTTTTCTTGACTACATTGTTTTTTTGTCATTGGTGTCATGTTTGGAAAACTGACTTTTTGATGGTTGCTAAGGTGAAATGCAAATAAGTTGAAATTAGTGTGGAAAAAGTTTCCAGTCTGAGTGAAAGGTTTGAAAACTATGCAGTGCCCAACAGGCATTTACATCCTGTTCATAAGAATTGTGGTTAAGTCTAAAATTAATCTTTTTTTCCTTTCAATTTACGTGAATTCTTTCATTGCTTCTCAGTGTTAGCTTGTGTATACTTAATAAGTTGTGTGTACAAAACTATTTAAGAGGAATTGTTAAGTATATTTTTTGTCAGGCACTGAAAATATTACTGAAACAATGAAGCAAGAAAGTTTTAGAGCCTCTGTTTTAGTTTATTTCCCTTTTAAACTGTGATATATCCTGTTAATAGTATCTTTCAACTTTCAGAGTGAGTTTTCCTCAGCTACTTTCTAGCTGGTGTGTCGGTTGGAGACCCTGTACTGCGTACTGGTAAACCCCTCTCAGTAGAGCTTGGTCCTGGCATTATGGGAGCCATTTTTGATGGTATTCAAAGGCCTTTGTCAGATATCAGCAATCAGACCCAAAGTATCTACATCCCAAGAGGAGTAAATGTGTCTGCCCTTAGCAGAGACATCAAGTGGGATTTTACACCATGCAAAAATTTACGGGTATGTCTGTATAACTGAGAAGTTCTATCCTTGGCCAAAGAAGGTGAAATGAGTATTTTTAGGAACCATTTAGTACTTTTAACCCCAATAAAAGTAGGCTCTAAAAGCATAGTTTAAGCTTTTCCTTAAATGCACTAATAAGATTGTGGAAGTAATATATTTTATTAATAAGTAAGACAAGATTAAAGTATACCAACAGGTATGAATCTTCTTTGGGTTTATTTAAGCATTAAGCAGGTAAATGTATTTGTTCTCTAGGTTGGCAGTCATATCACTGGTGGAGATATTTATGGAATTGTCAATGAGAACTCACTCATCAAACACAAAATCATGTTACCTCCACGAAACAGAGGGACTGTAACTTATATTGCTCCACCTGGGAATTATGATACCTCTGTAAGTAACGTTTAAACTATTCCACAGAGTGGCCCTGTTTATATATGTTTTCAGTAACTTTGTGTGTGTGTGTGTGTTGCTAGGGATTGGCCCCGTAGTTTTGTACATGCCACGCAACTGCTGTACCACCAAGCTGCATCCCCAGACTTATACTATTTTGTAAGGACAGTTTTGTTTTGACTTGGACTTGAGAATACAAATTAAGAAGTATAACATTTCCTACCTTAATAAGTGATGGTGCATTTATTTAAATCCTTTGTAGGCATGGAGTGAATAGACCTTGATTTTTTATTGTCAATTAGTATTCATATCATAAATTGTATAATGGATTATGTGAATTCTTACTTTGAGTAACTTAGCCCTTTAATTGTATTTATAGTTACATGTGGTATTATCTAATATAATTGACCCATATTTGTTTTTGTGGTTTTGAAGAGACATGATTTCCTCCCAGTAAAATGGGATAACAGATCATTTTTATTTTTTATATTTTTGGTACCGGGAATCAAACTCCAGACCTTGCGCTTGCCAGGCAGGCGCTTGTGCCGCTGAGCTATATCCCTGGCCCAACAGATCATTTTTTAAATCTTTTCACAAAGGTCTGTGCTCTGCAACATATAGAGGACAACAAGAGTTTGTGTGAAGTTTGATGTTTTCAGCAATCATCTATACTCACTAGCTTAGAAACGCACTCATTCCAAATGAAGGAATCACCCAAAAGCAGATAATCCAAATTTATGTATCAAAACAATTACAGATTTCTATAGGGTATTGCACTTTGGAATTCAGTGTTCACAGATGCTACCATATTACTCATTACCTTTTGCTTGTATAAATATTTAAACGTTATATTTAAATTATTATGCTATTTAAATATATATTTAAATTATTGTATTGATATTTTAAACGTTAATATTTTAAATATTTGAGGTTTTTAACAGATATTTTTCATTAAAACAGTATAAGATCAATATAATAAAGTAAATAAAACAGAATGGAAAATAAATGTGAAACTTTCTCTTCTCCCTAGCCTCCGTAGCATCCTTGCTGCTGTATCCTTTGCAACTGTACCATTACTTACACTTGCTATAATGAACTATTTCTCTGTTGCTTGATATACTCTTTTCTAAAAGACTGCTAAACCTTTTTAAAATCATCAAAATAATAACACCTGATTTTAAAAAATCAAGACTATTTAAATGTTCACAATAAAAAGTGTAAATCTTCTTTCTCACATCTGTGCACCACCTTTCTATCCCCTAGAGGAATCGGGAATCACTTCAATTTTGGAGGAAGAAACATTCACAAATTTGACCATACTCAAAACCCTCCTCTATTTTTACAGGATGTAGTCTTAGAGCTTGAATTTGAAGGTGTAAAGGAGAAGTTCAGCATGGTCCAAGTATGGCCTGTCCGTCAGGTTCGGCCTGTCACTGAGAAGCTGCCAGCCAATCATCCTTTGCTGACTGGCCAGCGAGTCTTGGATGCCCTTTTTCCGTAAGTTTGTGATGTCTCCCGCGGTTTTTCCTAGGCACTGTTATATGTGCTTACTTTCTCATTGTAGGTTAACGTTTTGTGTGTTATTTAATACAATCTTAAATTTTATTGAGAGTATAATGGTGAGTTAAATACAGTTACCCATTGCCAGTATTTCTTATAGAGTAACACTATTGGAGATACTTTTCCACAGAGGTAAACAGAAAGCATTTTTACAATGTTCTGGAAAAAATAGTTTTCAGAAGAGTATCTGTGCAAGAACAAAGTAACTATTTTAAATTATCCAAGAATAGGGGCTGGGGATTTAGCTCAGCGGCAAAAGCACCTGCCTGGCAAGCGCAAGGTCGTGAGTTCGGTTCCGGGTACCGGAGAAAAACCAAAAAATAAATAAATTAAATAAATAAATAAATAAATTATCCAAGAATGAATTATAAGCCGGGCATGGTAGCTCACGCCTGTAATGCCAGCACTGGGGAGGCTGAGGCTGGAGGATCATTGCAAGTTTGAGACCAGCCTGGGCTGCAAGGTGAGCTCAGAGCCAGCCTGAGCTGCATAGTGAAACCCTGTCTCAAACGACAAACATAAATAAATAAATAAATAAATAAATTATCAATGTTACTTTAAAATGATTTCTAAAATCAGGTGGGTTTTGTATGCTGCCAGAAGTCTTAATTTATAGTTTGCTCTTTTCCATTTTCTTTGCTTGCAGTCCTCATTTCTGTTTAAATCTCAGGCTTCACCATGTGCTATTATATTTTCAGCAAATGGCTTCATCATTTATTTACAGAAAAGACTGAAGGGGTAAGGCAGGGACTGCTTCAAACACTGACTACCAGATCCATGCACTTTTAGCTTCACGCACGGCTAAGCCAGTGCCCCCCCCACTGAGCCGCGCGCATGTACTCTTGATGTGGTCTCTTACCTTTAACGCTGCTCTCTGAGCTGTTCTCGCTGTTGCTGTCTCATTAAGACTTTCATCTTTTCTCATTTCTTTAGTAGTCAGTACCTCCTGCTGGCGTAGCCTTCATTATTCGGTTTAGACTCCATAATCTTATTATTCCTATGATTATTACCTGTAGTACAATAAATTTTCCTGTTCCTCCGCATTCTATCACACCCATCTGGCAAAATTCCAAATAGAAACCACCCCAGCTATTTCCTTCTCCTTAACTCTACACACAGCTTCTGAGGAAATCAAACAATCAGTATAAATTGATATCTAACCTCCCTGTTACGTACTAACCCTTCTGCATTTCCCTGGCTGCTGTTCTCTCCTGTTTTCCTCAGGAGCTGTTTCAAACTGCTCTGCTTGCCTGAGATCTTCAATTCTCACCATTTTTCTTCCCCTTTCTCTACATGTGATCACACTAGATCCTTCACTTTCTTACCTAGGTTTTTACACATTCCCAGTCATCACTTCCTTTCTTTTTTCTGGAGTTTATCTCATTTTATGTCTCCTCAAGGACCTCTGCCTGTGGTATCTTCTCACCCTCTCCTGTCTGTGAAAAAAATCTGCCCTCCATCCCTTCCCATTTTCACTACTTTTTTCTGTATCTTTATGGCCAAACCTCTTGAAACAATAAGTATGTTATGTGCATTTCTTCTACTGTGATTCACTATACTCTGCCCTTGGCTTTGCTCTCACGTCATCAGTCATTCCCATGCTTGATCAGTTCAGGGCCTAAATTTCAGTATTTTCTTAATCCCTGCAGCTTTGA